TTTGTATACTCTTTTTACAATAAATGTATATGATATATGCCATATTTTTATTTCTAAAGCATGAAATATAAAGATATTTTATTTTTTTGTGTCTATCATTTGTAAAAAAATCTTGATAAAAGAAACAACATTAATTTTGCGACTTGCAATAATCTGTTTCATTATATGCTTCTTTTAAATACTTACAATTAGCCTTATTTTATGTGATTAACTTGATATTTAAAATACGTATCAAAATCGAAAATGTATTTTTATTACAGTAGAAAAGAAACATTCTTGTCTTACAACAGAGAGAAATGGCAAAATATAATATTGTCTAAAGTACAGTCCAATAAAAACGGTTAAAATTGAACATTTTATAAAACCACTGTGATTCATGAAAAATCAGAATTATTATTTCAAAAATATAGACATATTTCGACTGTGTGTTTTAAACTGCACTACACATTCAAAAATTCACAGAATAAATTTATTTCTGCAAAGTTGTGTATAATGTCAGTGGAAAAGTGATTTATTTGTTATTACATATACATGATATTTTACCATTCCTCTCTGGTGTAAGACTACAATGTTTTTTTTCTACTGAACTAGAAATTAATTTTATATTTTGATGTGTATTTTAGATACCAAGGTAAACGCATAAAATAAGGCTAGTTGTAAGTATATAAAAGAAGTATATATTGAAACAGATAATTGCAAGTCACAAAATTAATGTTTTTTTTATCAAGATTTTTTTACAAATGATACATACAAGAAACTAAAAATACCTTTATATTTCATGCTTTATAAATAAGTTATATGACATATACATTTATTATAAAAATATATACAATATACAAAATGATATTAACTTTTTACATAGATACTTTGATGTAAATATACATAATATGGAGCACATAATATACATAATATATACACATAAAGCACATAAATAAAAGTATTTTACAGAAATTAGAATATGAATGTATGTAACTAAATAATATAAATGTTTGCAAGAATATTGCAAAATTTATGTATAATACATACACTTTTTTATCCTTCAGAGTGTTTTCAACCCATTTTTTTCAGCCGGGTTTTGTAGCACATAACACACACTCACACGCACAACTAACACACACATAACTAACCTAAAAGATTCTGTATATGACAGATAGCACTGAGAACTGTATAGCGCCTCTATCCCAAAATCTCGGAATTAATCTATAGCTCTTTTTACCTTATTCTTTCTATATTGCACACATGCTTTACATAAATCTGGAAAAGGGTGGCGTTTTGAAAATAAGTCTCTAAGCTCTATTTTTTTGGTTTTCCATTATTGTTTCATACGCTCTTCTTCGGCACATGGTCTTGTTTTGCAGATTGAAGCAGTATAATTTTGATATAAAAGATATAATTCTTTGAGGTGACATTGTCGGTAAATTTTCAAAAATTTTTTTTATTTTTTGGTTTAAATTTGACCAACTGCCGAAAGATTAGCATATGTACTTTATTTACACCAAAGGATTTGTAATTCTATTAAACCAATAAAAAACGCCACCCTTTTTAGAAAATTGAAGTTTCGGTCGGTAACAATATGACTTCAGCATCCTCTTAATATTAAATGATTATTGCTATTTCTAATATTTTGTCTACTGTATGCAGAGCCTCAGAGTAATAAAAGTTAAAGTATTTTATAAAATTTATAGTACAACAATAATAAAACCGCCTAATCTCTTTACGCTTGTCACTCGTTATGTCTAGTGGCACCACTACACGAGTGTAACCATGTCATAGACACAGAATCTCTGTGTGAGAATTGCTACAT